CGCGGGGCGCGGGTGCGGCGGGGGCCTGCGGGACCTCGCGATGATCACTGCCGGCCTGCCTTGCAGACAATGATAATCCGCGGGCTGTCCACCTGGATGCTCTGAAACTCAAATTCGCTGCCTGTGAAAGTGGATTTTTGCGGAGGTTGCGTGGATGTGTACATAACTACGCGGGCCTCGGCGTCTGGCCTGTTCAGGCCGAATTTAGGAAATCTCAGATTTTTCAAGGTCAAAGTATAGGATATTCGGAGTCTGTGAAGTAACATGCAGCTACATATGTCTTTACAGCAAATGGCCCCAGCTTCCCAAGGTCCAGAGTAAGAAATCAGAAATAGAGACGATATGAAAGCCAAGTGGTGGTGTTGGTTTTTTTTTTAAGGTTTTAAAATGGTGGTATGTTTTTTGTCGAGTGAGGGAAAACGCTGTTTAAAAAACAAAAACAAAACCCTTCCCCCAAAACCCCAAAATACCTAAAAAACAATTTCCTGTGCCCAAGTCCTGAATATTCATTTAGCCCCTGGGCACTCGGTCAAAGACGAGAAATTAAGGCTGTTCTGTGTTCTCGTGCGAGGAGCTGCTGCGTTTGTTTTGCAGAAAACCTGAAAGGCCACGATGTCTACGAAACCCAAGCTCCACTATCCAAACGGAAGAGGCCGGATGGAATCCGTGAGATGGGTTTTGGCCGCCGCGGGAGTCGAGGTACCCTACCTCTATGCTGTTTTCCCACAGGTTTTACTACAACGTTGAGACTTCTGAGGGAAGCGTCCATGGCGGAGCCCTGTCCTCTCCCACTGATATTTCAGACTTGGCTCCGTGAGTCAGAAGAGTCTTTCCAGGGCTTTTCTCTTTCTGAATGAAATGTATTTGATGGAATTCTGTTTTACTCTCAGCTTTTACTTAACCATTGGCGTCGGATCTGCCATCAATATTTATTAATGAGGAGAAAGAAAGGAACCTTCAATTTGCCACACACCCAGAACATTTGTGAATATAGAATCTCTCGATGAATTTGCTGTTTACTCCAGTGGCTTCAGACTGGCAGCCTTCCTATCTTGTCTGCATACCTGTTTGCTTTGGCCCACAGTGTGTTTGGTTTTGTTCTGTTCTTGTAGTGTCTTATTTATGGAAATTTTCAGATGAGAACAAAGGTAGAGAAAACGTGGTGGGTCCACGTACTCTCCACCCAGGTTCCGCAACAATTAGCTTTATGCTAATCTTGTTTCATCTGTCTCCTCCCCTCCACCTGCTTTTAAAGCAGAACGCAAACATCATATCATTTCATCTGTGAGTACTTTAGTTTTTCTGTCTAAAAGATGAGCGTTTTAACACATAACCCTGATATGATTATGACACCCAACAAAATTAACAACAGTTCCCTATTAACATCCAGCACTCAGTCCGATCGTCTCAAACAGAACTTGTTCCTTGGATCTAAATCAGGTCCACGGGTTGCATTTGATTACATTTCTTTCAGTATCTAAAAAATCTGTAACATTTCCTCTGCATTTTTTGAAAATAAACTTTGCATCTGGAAATAATTTTAGATTAATAGTCAAGTTGTCAAGATATTGCGGAGTGTTCCCTTGTAACTATCCCTGTCTCCCCTAATGATAACATCCTACCTAAGCTCATGGACACAAATTAACATTGGTGCATAACTAAACTGTAGACATGATTCAAATCTACTTGGTCTTTTCCACGAATGTCCTTTTACTGTTCCAGGATCCAGCAGTGTATTTAGTCATTATGTTTCCTTAGCGTTTCGTAATCTGTGACAGTTTCTCAATCTTTTTTTATTTCACCACTATGACAGTCTTGAAAAGTATTGGTCACGTTTCTTGTAGAATCCTCCATAGTTTGGGCCTGTCTGGTGTTTTTCTCATGATTACACTGGATTTTGGGTTTGAGAGAGTGTCTTTCTTACTGCATCATATGAGAGGTTACATGATACTAATGTGAGTGGTCCCTGGTGCTCTTACCTTGGTCACGTGGTTAAGGTGGTGTCTGCCAGGCTCCTTCACTGTAAAGTGACTAATTTCCCCTCTATTCTTTGGAACCGAATCATTCAGTTCAGCCCGTACTCACCACCTGGAGTGGGGAGTCTCTGCATGTAGAATTCCTATGTAAGGATTCGTCTTTTTCTCCTCCATTGGTTTACTTATTCCATCACTTATGTATATCAGCATGAATTTAAGCCTGATCGGATTCTGGCTCCTTTTTTTTTTTTCCTACCTTTAATTCTTTTTTCCTGCCAGACTGCGTCAGAGGTGACACTGTGAACACAGTTCTCTTGTGCGACATCAGGGGTGCATGATGTCTGCCTGCCTCGTTGTCAGCGTTGCAGAGCTTGACCAGAGCCTGATCCACACGACCTGAAGTCTCCCCAGGTCCCCTTTCCACACGAGTGGCCTCGCAGCCATGCACATCACCATTGTTAGAGATTAGAAAATGGCGACTTTCCTATTTCTGTCATTTCACCTGAATTCATGAAATGTGATTTTCTTATAAAGAGTAATTGCTCACTGGTTAACTACTTAATTACCTTTGAAGTACAGTAACGTAAGAAAAGCAAGATAACTGCTTGATTCTGCCTCTTTATGAATTTTCAGAATAATGAATTGTTACCTTAGCAACCTCCACAGGTGACAAATGAAGGTGGCTGGGTTCGGGGTTTCGTTTTTGGTTTGCTGATTTGGTTTGGGTTTGGTTTCTGTGCATATCATTGTAACCCACCGCATAGTATTTTACAGTTTCCTAAATTAGTCAATTTCCTTTGATTACAAATTCTGGTTTCTGGCTTCTCTTGAGAAGTTGGAAGATCTGGTGATACCAGGCCCTCCTTCCCATGGGCAGCAGTTGCTGACTCTGGGTAAGGACGGCCACTAGAGATGGACCTTTCTAGCTCAACACCGTCTCCATCTCCCCTGTCATCTCAGGACTCATTTTCTAATTGTGTTAAGGGGAGGGTGAAACAGTTCTTGATCCTTTGACCTGAACCTGGTTGGCATATTTATGTCACCTGTCTAATCCCTGTGTGCTTCAGAGCTTGTAGTTATTTAATAGGTTTTGCACTGGGGGTCTTACACGTGTATGTAATAGAATCCCTTGTCAAAATCAAATCCCCTCTCTTCTTTAGCTGCATCCTACCCTGCCCCTCCTATTCTCCTGTGAATCAAGATTCCTGGTTACAGTAAGAGAAACCCAGCCCTACACAAGTTAAATAAAGAAATGCACAGGTCGCATGACCCGCCTACCCTAGACCAGGCAGGCAGGTGGGGTGAAGTCATTAGCCCAGCCTGGGTCTTGGCTGGAACTGACCAGAGTGGAGCTGGACTGGCCTCCCTCACCAGGGCCGACCACGTGGTTTATAAGAGCAAGTGCCCAAAGGCAGAATCAGGGGTCCCTCCTAGTACTTTGCCAAAAGACATTTTCAGCTACACTTGTGCTCATACAGATCTGAAACAGTGGCAAGGGCCGGGCTGGCAGCCTCTGGGTGAGTTCCTGATTCCCAGGGTCACAGTGTCAGGTAGAGCCTGACGCTTAAGGCACAGGCATGCAGGTAACTAGGTAACCGACACCTGCTGAGAGGCAGCCTGGCCTATTTCAGGGAGTCAGCATCCCCCTCCGTCTCATGCTTGGTTTGAGTCCCCAGACCTGGCTCTGTGCTGGATGCTGGGTGCTGCTCCTTGGCTGCTTGAGGCTTCATTTGCCCGAAGACCACCTGATCCCCCATCCCCCGCTCCAAAAACCCAGTCAGATCCTCCTTGTGAAGAGGGAGATGAACGGTGTGAAAGAGAAGACATTAAGGCCACAAACTCCTCGTTCAGGATTTCTGGGCAGTTCACTTAGAAGAAGGGACGGGTGTGAAGAGGGAGTTCAAGGTGTGGACAAGGGCACTTCTCTAAAGAATTCCAGGGGGAACAGTACCCTGGTCAGGGAACAGCGACAGCTGATGGCGTGGACAGGAAACACACTGTCTGTCCTGACAGCCCAGAGCAGCCCCCAGACAGTGCCCAGCCCCTCCCAGCTCTGCCTGGTGACGTTTTTCCATCCTCTCCCTCCCACCCTCTCACCTTCTGTCCTGGAACCGGTTTCTTTTACGGACAGTATTATAAAGCTTGACATGACAGGGTGTCCGTAGTGAGAGTTCGCCTTTTGCTACGTGTTCCCAGAAGTCAAAAAGCCAGAATCAGAACTATTCGGTTGGACTTGTTTCTAATAAAATGTACATGTCTGGTCTCTCCCAACCTTGGATGTGACACTCTGAGGGGTGGGCCTGGGATGACACACAGACACACACACACACTCCTTCCCACGTGCTTTAAATGATGACGATCAGAAAAGTTGGAGAGCAGTGAAGCAGAGGGAACACCCCTGGCATCGCAGCTGGGCATTTGGACAAATGCCCAGAACATTCTTGCCTGGAGGCTACTGCTCCGTGGGCCCCACAGGGAGTGCCTCTAGGGCACTGAGGCTCCCTCCTCACATACAAGGACTCGGGGTGGGGGGGGTAGGTCAAGCTATGCCTGCACCCCATCTTCCCAATGAACTACCCCCCTCCCCCCCCCCACAGCAAGTTGAGGAGGAGGAGAGAAGCTGTCAGCTCTGCCCCTCCTTGGGTGACGTGGGGGGCAGTGCAAGGACTGATCGGGTAGGGAACCATCTGGGGACTCCGTGGGGATGTGAAATGCATTAGTGCATTAGAGTGCGTTTTATAAGTTACAAGAAAAGGAACTCGCCATTCCCTCCCCCACCGCCCCCAGCCTTTTAGTTTGGAAACTTCAAAATCCGCAGAAAAGCTATCATTGTCCAATGGACACCTTTCAACCCAATTCACCAGTTGTTCACATTTTGCTACATTTGTTTCCTTCTCTGTCTGCTTTTCTAAATTCCCCATCATTTGAAAGTAAGTGGCAGACAACAGCCTGTATCTTCCTGCTGAGAAGGAATAAACAATTAATCTAATAACCTCAACATCATTGTCACAACTAAGAAAATTAATACTAATTTTACAACATCAAAGATACGGTCCATATTGAGAAGTTCCCTGTTGTCCCCCAAATGTCTGTACAACCGTTACTTACGTATTTAGCAGTTATAACTGCCCCTCCCCTGCTCCAGAATCTAATCAAGCAAGATTCAGGCATTTGCTGGTTGTGTCTCTAGTCTCTTCATCTAGAACAGTACCTACAGACTAAGAGACCTGTTGGTCTCTTCCCTTTCCTTCACTTAACAGAAAAGGAGTGTGTGGAGGAGGAATTGAGTCTCTTGCCTGAGTTTCTGCCAACAGAAATAATGAGTTATGAGGCTCAGAGGCCACATAATATAAAGAAGAGCCGAATCCTTTTAAAATAAAGATTTGCCCTTGAGAACGGGGCTCCTGCTTTCAGTTGGGAAGTGAATGGATGTCTAGACACATGGTGAGGACCACAGAGTGGGATCGGCCGGAGGCAAATGGTCCCCTCATCCAGTTTCTGAACCCTGCACATCCCAAGGAGCTTAAAGACAAAACCAAAGTTCTGGAGGCTGGAAGGAGTCCAGGCTATTTATGTGACAGAGCGTCCCTCATTCTCCCCTTGTAGTCCGGTGCAAGTTAGGTTACAGCAGGGAGCACAGGGTGTCTCAGTGTCCCCCGGTGGGGAGCTGAGTTTGACCACTTGGGAGATGGCAAAATCTCCAGATCTTCCTGCTGCAGAGGTATTTTTTCTTTGTCCTAATTAAGTTACTTGTGGGGTGACACTTTGAGATTGTGGGAAGCTTCTCTGCCTGGGACCCAGTGATTTCGGCACCCATTATGATCCTTATTGGAATCGGTTTTTATGTTGTAGGGTGAAAATTGGGGATTTTCTAGTTTTATCATTAATTAGTAATAATTCTACATTCATTAGGAATAATTCTCCTGTGAAAAAGAGCTTTATTTTTCTCTCTTTTTAAAAAAGTATCAGTTATGGACACGGGTTTTTGGTTGGTGTGTGTTAGCTATAACTGACAACACTGTTTTCAAACCTTGAATTGTCCCAGATGTGACTAGGGAATCCCTCTCGTGCAGGGCCCTGCCTGCCTTCGCCTGTGACGTGTCCATGAGTCTTTGAGCCCATCCCCACTTTTAGACATCACAGAGTCCACCTTTTCTCCTGGGAGCCCAGTGATATTTAGAAACCCAGATGTGGGTGCTGAGTGTGTCCTTTCTCTCTGCTTTTGACTGGGTATCTTTGTCTTGAACCTATAATGACATTTCTCTTCTTTTTTGGGGGGGCTGTCTTTTTAAATTTAGTTTGATGAAGAATTTTTAGAAACGAAAGAGCAGTTGCAGAAGCTGCAGGATGGTGAGTATCAAAATGTATTTCTGTCAGTAACGCTGATTTTTTTTTTAAAGAACTGATACTTATGTAGAAGGGCAAAGATGCTCTTGATGCTCTGCATCCAGAACAGCATCCTGAAACCAGACAAGCAAGAGGGACCAGTCGCTGAAATTGCCAGGAGGTCGCTTTGCATTCAGTAGTTTCAGAGAAGCCGGCGAAAGGGAGGGAGCAGTTCCTCCTTCCATCTGAGTGGGCGGTCCTTCTCCATCCCTCTCTCCTCCCCGCTGGCTCCTGGACTCCCTTCCCCCAACCCCCTCCCCCCCCCAGACTTTTCTTCCTCTCCATCACTTCCGATTCCGTCCTCATCGTCCCTTTTACGCTGGGCCGCTGTCTGCACTAAATACCAGACAGACTTGACACCAGTGAAAGGCCCCCCGTTTAACTCCTGATCACACCCCTGACACACAGACCCAGGCCCCTGTAAGCAGCCTCCTTGGTCATCAGCAGGGTATTGAGGCCCAACACAAGGCTCCCTGGAGAGGGACCAGCTCTGCAAGGCTGTGATGCCACCTGTCCCGTGTGACACTACATGAGTCCGTCAGTTTCCCGCCCAGGGCTGGGCTGGATCCCATACGTGCCTCCCTCCCTGGGTTTTGGTGCATGGAAGGTGTTTGAAACAGGCTTGTCGAAGAAAGTAATCGGTTACTTTTTGACTAGTGACAGTGAACGTGCTAGAGGTAGCCTGCAGCTGTGGACACGTGTACGTATCAGGTGGTGACTTGGGTTTCATTACCAGATTGTCAAAGCAGTGCAGCCACAGAACATTCTACAGTAATGGGATTGTTCTGCACTGCGCTGGCCAGTGCAGGAGCCACCAGCTGTGTGTGGCTGCTGAGCACTTGAAATGTGTGCAAGGCGACTAAGGAAGTGAGTTTTAAATCGTTCGAAAATTTGATTAATGTCACTTTACGTTTAGCTGCACACATGCCGCTACTGGCTACTGTCCTGACCAGCGCAGCTCTGGGGAAATGTCTTCACTAGTTTCCGCCTTAACTTTGAGGCTACGTATTTCTCTTGGGGTGAAAGACAACAGGGAAGGTTTAGAGCAGAGCTAGTTTTCAGCTTGTTTCATGGCTAAATCTCCACCCCTGAATGAAGTTGAGGGCGCTTTACTGTTACCTAAGGCTCTGGCCCCATTGGGTCAGAAAATGGGTCCCTTTTCGTTCAGCAGAGTATTTTTGGAGGGTGGAAGGCAGGGAAGTGGTCATGCCTAACTCAGGGTTTCCATTCCCAGGTAACCACCTGCTGTTCCAACAAGTGCCAATGGTTGAAATTGACGGGATGAAGTTGGTGCAGACCCGGAGCATCCTCCATTACATAGCGGACAAGCACCATCTCTTCGGCAAAGACCTCAAGGAGAGGACCCTGTACTGTGGCCCCTCTTATGTGTTCTCGCCTGTCCACTTACCGATGCTTTGCTGATTAGCTGTCCTCTACAGTACACCTGTCCACTTCATGGCTTGTATTGTTAGTGCAAACAGGGAACAAAACTCCAGAAAGGTCGTCAAGACCAGTTGGAAAATCAGTACAGAGAGTCTGAGTAAAAGGACAGAGAAGAATTGAGTTCAGATCACAGAGCATGTGTCTGGGATACGATGCAAGTTTCAACATCTATAAATGCTTTGATATCATTCTTCATCTTTCTTGCAAATGTATTGTCATTGAGTATTAGGAATGAGGAGCTGCTGGAACATTCAGGGCCCAGGATACTGTGCATTGGATTATAATTTGATAAGTATAATGATTCAGAGCCTGGTCTTGGTACCTCCTGGATCGTGACCCTGGGCAAAGCATTAAGCTCTGGTGTCCTGATGAGTGTCCCCTACGATGGGGTTAACAAAAGCACATTCCTCACACTGTCATAGGATTCAATGAAATATTGGGTATAGAGTGTTTAGCACTTGGCACACACCAAGCATTCTATAAATGATTCCCACTATTTTTATAAACATGAAGTACCGCCCACACTGAGCGTGGGTGCTGGAGTGAGGGCTGGGGTGCAGGGGCCAGGGGGAGAGGACACTGGCGATTCTTGTGCTTTGAGATTTGTGACAGGTTTTTCTGAATTACAGCTAGAACTGACTTTGCATCTTTGCTTTGAGGAACGGGTGGAGATGAATGCTTCTTGGCACTTAAGTTGGCCAGGGCCTTAACTAAAAAGTACTCTGGATACTTAGTTGTGGAAACTGATGAGTTCAAAGAGGGGCGACTGAGAAAACTGCTTTTTTGTGTTTTGAAGGATTGACATGTACGTGGAGGGGACACTGGATCTCCTGGAACTGCTTATCATGCATCCTTTTCTCAAACCAGACGATCAGCAAAAGGAGGTGGTTAACATGGCCCAGAAGGCTATAATTAGATACTTTCCTGTGTTCGAAAAGGTAGGTGGCAGAGAAGCCTGTGAACACGGCATCACTGGACCACAAACACCCCTTTCTGCTCAGGCAGAGTTGAGCTGAGCCCCGCTGGACCCACCTTGCTGGACTTCTGAGAGCTGGCGGAATCCGTCAGCACAAAGCCAGGGAGTCTTGGAGCCTCCCAGACTCTTCCAGAGTCTTCCATATTTTCTAGAAAAAATAGGGGCCCATTTGTGCATTCTCATAGTTTATATTCGCCAGGTGCCACCTTGTGAGGGATTCAGAAGAACAGAAACTACCTATTTTTCCTTCATTCTTCCATTGTGCAGACATGTGTGTATCAGGCCTCCTACTTGATTGATGGGGAGAGAAGACCCATTTCTGTTTTATTTCTCTTCTCTTGGCTCTTTTTGTTTTCTGTTTTGTTATTTTTCTTGTCTTCTTACTGTGTCTGTTTTTCCGAGCTTCGAACTCCTCTCTTTTCCTCAACTGAGAGGTATTGTTTTAAATGCTTCAATTGAAAAACAAAAGAAGAGGAGGTAAAAACACGGAGTTGGCAGACTTCCTCTGGCCTTTTGTGTTTTTCTGTCCTTGGTTTCGTAGTCTTTTGCCCACGGGCACTTTAGGAAGGTAGAACGTTACAGCGCAGAGAGGGGCTGTGACAAGGGCGGTGCCTTGGAGAAGGTCGCTGCCGGTTCCTACGGAGAAGGCTGTGCCAGGGTTCTGCCCAGAATGGGAGCTAGACATTGTTACCCTCTTTCACACATAATGAAACAGTCACGGAGAGATTGAGTGACGTGCCCAAGGTGGGAGCTGGGACTGGAACTCTGGCCTCTGACTGTGACTTCTCCCACTCTGCTGCATTAGCTCTGTCTGATTTGGAGACATCTGTAGAGCCCCTGTGAGACACACACACGTGTTCACACTCGTGGGCATCTGCCAAGGCATCTCCTCTTTTCTCTCGCTGTGCCTTGCCTCTTCCCGATCACCATCTATTCCCGTGAATCTCTTCATCCATATGTGACTTTCAAAACGAGAGTCAGGATGAACTCTTGTTCTTTCAATTTTCTTTGTCTTAGAAGATGTGAAAGGAAGCCTGCCTTTTTTTTTTTTAAATATCATGTCTAGTTTATGACTGAGTCCTGAAGGTCTTAGAAACTCAGAACTGGCAAATGAGATTAGGACTTCTTACGGCATGTCCCCCCAGCCTCCGGAAGGCATCAGGGCTAATTCCTTTCTGTAGGTACGTTTATGGAATAAATGTATCCTTTTAAAGCACTGGATGTTAAATCCAGAATTAATGTCTCCTTCCCTTTTTCAGGAGCTCATTCTGATGTAGAGCAGATATTAAGGGATGCCTTCCTTTCTGCACCTTTTGCACTCTCTCCTATCGGGCACCACCTCTTAGTTGACTTTATTTATAAAAGGAGACAAGCCTGTAGTTTTGGTCCTTCTCAGGTGCTGCGCTGATTGCACAGCTTCCTCAGTTTCTCCATGTCGAGTATTGTAACCGATGCAGAATATTTAAACCCTGCAGGTTTTACGGGAACACGGACAAAGGTTTCTTGTTGGTAATCAGCTGAGCCTTGCAGACATCATTTTACTGCAGACCATTTTGGCTCTAGAAGAGAAAATTCCTAATGTCCTGTCTGCCTTTCCTCACCTCCAGGTAAATAAAACAGCATTTTAGAAGGTTGGCTGAGAATTCTCAGACCTTCTTTAACGTCTGTTGATTGGTTGGCTCTCTGTGTGTGTGTGTAATTCTTTTAGGTGCTAAATAGGTCGCAAATGGGAAGTGTCCAAGGCTGAGGTCTGAGAGCTGCTAAGAGGCACCCTACACATCACCCCAAAGAGTTCTCACCCCTCTCCTTGCCCAGATTCCAGGGACAGACTTGTGCGTGTGACTCAGTTTATTCCTTGGTATTATTGTGGCAGGATTGATCCTAGAATTTGGAAGCAGAAAAGGGCTTTAAAAACTAATCTCATCCAACACCTTCAATATACCTCTGAGGAAACAGAGACCCCGCGTAAAGAAGTCAGCAGCCGCGATGGCCTCCTTAGTGGGTGCCTCAGCTTTGTCTCCAATCCAGTGAGCTTTCTTCTCCACCAGAGGGGGCACAAACTCCAGCCACTTGGGCCAAATCAGGCCTGCCACCTGTTTGTGTAGCCCTCTTGAGCGAAGAATGGTTTTTACATTTTAACATCAAAAGAATAATAGTACTTCCTGACACCTGAAATTATATGAAGTTCAAATTTCGGTGTCCGTAATTAAGTATCATGGGCACAAAGCCACGCCTACTCATACGTATGTTGTGTTACTGCAGCAGAGTCGAGTCGCTCGGATAAAGACCGTGTGGCCCGCAAAGCCTAGAATATCTACTAACTGGCCTTTATAGAAAAAGGTTGCCAATCCCCTGTCTAGACCAAACTGACACGTCTTTGACCAAGTTAGCAAAAGCCAAGAGAGACACACACTAAAATCTCTAAAGAGTAACACATATACTTAAAAAAAATTTTTTTTCCAAGTAACACATCTATTTTATGTGTAGCAGTGAGTACCTGTTAATCCCAAATTCCTAATTTATCCCTCCCCGCCCTTTCCCCTTTGGTAACCATAAATTTGTTTTCTGTCTGTAAGTCTGTTTTTGTCTTGTAAATAAATTCATTTGTATCATATTTTAGATTAAACTTATAAGTAGATAGCATATGATATTTGTCTTTCTCCATCTGACTTACTTCACTTAGTATGATAATCTCTAGGTCCGTTCATGTTGCTGCAAATGGCATTATTTCATTCTTTTTATGGCTGAGTAGTATTCCACGGTATATATATACTGTATCTTCTTTATCCAGTAATACGTTGGTGGACAGGTTGCTTCCATGTCTT